TCGGAGTTTGTCCAAGCCCTTCAGATGTTTATTTTGCATTTATTTTGCCCAGGCCCGTCGGAGTTTGTCCAGGCCCTTCCGATGTCTTCTTAATACGATGCCTTGGGAAGGAAGTGATAATGTTTCAATGTGTTTGTATCGGATTTAGAATTGTGATAGATCTGAACTGTATAGTTGGTTCGGTTGTAAATAATCGTTTATTATCGGAGTTGTGACCGTTGATGATGAGAACTACGTGTGGCTTGATCCCTTGTCCAAGGGTACGTAGGCAGCCTGCGGTCTCACCAGGTGCAGCCGCGGAATATTATTGCGTTTAAAAGGTTTGATCGATTCTGAATGTGTGATCGGATTTTTGATGTGAATAATGGATTTGAATCCGGTTTAATGATTTTTGGGAGTAATCGTATAATTGTTTGAGATCATGAATAGTTTGGTTTTGAATTATCTGAAGGCCGGAGGCCTATTATGTGATTGTATGTTGTTAACTTGTGCATGCTGCCAGTTGGTGTTTTAAAATGTGTTTTATGCAGGTTGAAATAATTTGGGGAATGTTCAATTTACAGGGGAGACTTTGCCGAATTTTCGGCAGAAAGTCTCGGTTTTTAGTAAGTGGGCCCGACATCGGGGTGAGTATTAATCTAGCCAAGAAATTCCATCCATTGATATTTTTCATAACATGGAAATAAGGTGTTTGATGGAGTATCTCGCAGTTGATTGTAAGTTTTCCCTCACACAAAAAAAGTTCACCGATCCGTCACTATGGTTACGTATGTAAATGATTCTGCATGCACATATAGGTTGCACCATCAGCATTAATTGGGATCACAAATGACGTTTCAAAACAAAAAAATTAAGATCACAATGGGTTGGAAATTGGATTTGGCTAAAAAAATTAGTTCAGGCCTTTACCAAAAGGGTTCAATTCTAAATTAGTTAACAAATGCTCCTTTTAGCATTATTGCCCTACTATTGGCTGTACAACTTAGAATTTAGAATTCTGAAGAGACGCAAAATGTTACAGAAAAAGGCCTATTGTCCACTTGGGGTCGTTGGCTCATTGGAAGGGCTACCAAAGATGACTTCATCGTATCTCCTTTAGCTGTCTAAGCCAAATCTGCTAGTTCATGCCTTCCAACACTCATATTGATATTGCATGACAAGTTCAAAGCCACATTGTTTTTAGCAGAATGCTGATTTTCCACCATTCTCTTTCAAAAGATATAATACACCAGCTTCTGTGCTGTATCAAAGTTGATCCAAGGGATTCATAATTTAAAATTACCATGCTGTAGAAACATCTATATTATTCTTTCAGCTATCTTGCCAAACAAAAAATATATATGCGTGGGTATATATAGAGAGGGAGTAGAGATGATATATGAACATAAATGTTTGAGAGTCAAGACAGTTTGCTCAGTTTCTTTCATTTCTGTTGTCCCAGTAAGTTGAATCAGGATTGACTGGATAGAGATCATGAGCAGATGTAGATGAACCAGTCCAAGGCCCTTCAGTTGACGCGGTTTGTGTCTGGCTCTCACCGGTTTTCCTTCCGAAACTGGATTCAAAATGTTTCCTCATTGCTTCGATCTCATTAGTTGAGGCATTTGGATCTGAGACCAATTCCTGAACAGCAGCCCTGCCTTCAAGCATGCTGACAACTAAAGACATGGTAGGCCTAACTGTTGAAGTGACATTGCAGCAGAGGAGAGCCACATTGATTGTAAGCATCATCTAAGTAGTTGTGCCCTTTTAGTAGACATCGACGAATTATAAAAATAACAACATCTAAGTGATAATATATAATAGTTTTTCGAAATTTTCAGTATATATTTTTTTTAATTTTGAGCCGAATTTAACCTTTCAGATCATTAGACATGTTTAAATTTTCAATGATTTTCCGAAATTTTCCAAAAGTTCCAAACATCCTTCGCACGTGAATCAAGCCCCATGTATAAGGAGAAAGTTTTAATGATGAATTGGTAGGTAGTGAATGAAATTCAAAGGATTGATCTGTACCATATGTACTTAAGGGGAATTTGAACAAATTTGCTAAACCAATAAATATCTCTTTTTTTTATAGAGAAATAAATAGATATATTTATAACCAGTAGGGATATGGTTGATAAGCATTGAGTTTAGCATATGGCTTCTTATTTATATATTACATTCATAAGTGTATATATATATATATAGTCCTTTTAATTGAGGGAATTCTCAAATAGTTTTATTTGATGATCTCCAGTTTTTTTCATTGGTAGGTTTCTAGGTCACCATATTTTATGTGTTGATGCTTGATGAATGCTGGATTTATGAGTGAACAATTTCTGGTGTGTGTTCTTATTTGTTTGAATAGTCATACTATGTTTGATACTCTTGCGATCTATGATGAATGTTCACACACTATCCACTCTAGTTATTGCTAACACTAGGGATGCCTAGATTGACTGATCCTTTTGAGTGCCTAGGGTGTCACTTAGCTTTTTCCTAGGATTGCAGGTTTTAATAATTGATTTGTTGTGAATCTGTGTGTTTGTTGCTTGTTAGTAGGAACATTTAATCATTGTTGTTTTAGATCTATCTATTGAGGTTTTAATTTACCTCTTCACTTAAATACCAATTTCACTTTATGTCATATTTAGTTCAACATGGAATTAGTTATTACATGTAGTCTAAACTTGAAACCAGAATATATTTCGGAATTCGGAAGTTTCGAAATCTTGAGATATATTCCAATTCCAATCCTTTTTTTTTTTTTTTTTCATTTTGAATTTTCGGATGCCGAAATTGATTTGGACTCACCAAAATTGGAAATTTTCATAGTTGAACATGTTGGTTCTAATGTTATTTTTTCCAGATTATTGCACAAGAGATGACGTAACTATTATTAAATTTCGAAATTTTCTGTAATTGCTGGTTTGAATTACATTTGTGTTCTTAGTTGAACATGTTGGTTCTAATGTTATTTTTTCCAGATTATTGCACAAGAGATGACGTAACTATTATTAAATTTTGTGTAATAATGGCTCTTACAAACAAGCTAGGCTATGCGTCTTTTTTGTGTCAACTTGGGCAATATTTTGTGTAAGTGGAATGCATTGATATGTTGTAATGCAGTAATGATTGATTAATGAATTAATATTTGCTATGCAGTGATATAGAAGTAGTTCAAAAATATATGTGGGTAAAATGTCTGGGGGCTCAGAGAGTGATGACTGTGTAACAGCTAATGGGATGGTTTACATTCATGAAGTAAGAAATGAGGAAACACCAACGGTTGGGATGAAGTTGGACTCGCTTGACCTCGTTTATAATTTCTATAATAGATATGCATTCTTGGCTGGCTTTGGTATTCGACTTCATTCCAGCTTTCGGGGGACATATAAGAAAGAGATTCTGAGGAAAGAATTTGTTTGTTGCAAACAAGGTGCATACAGGAAAGATGAAACTCGGGAGAGAAAAAGACAGCGGGGAATAAGTAGATGCAATTGCAAAGCTAAGATTGTGGTTGTGAAGACAAATGGGAGCAAGAAGTAT